TCTGGGAGTTGAAGTCCACTCATCTTAAAGTGGCCAAGTTTGGACAACACTGCCCTAAAGAGAACAGGGAACCTATATGAAGCTAGTCCATTTATGAGGCAGAATGAATCCTTTGCTTCAGGTAGTAGATCTAAAAGGATGACTGATTGGGGTTGAGCCTACTTTTGACCCTCAACTGTATGAAAGAGTACTTATGTATGTATGTATGTATGTATGTATTTATATTTTGAATTTAGACACCACCCATCTCACGAGGAAGTGAGTCTGGGTGGTTTACAATAAAACAGCAAATAAATATTAGTTAAAATACAATAAAAGCAGTATAAAAATACAGTAAATTACACATGCTCCCCACTTCTGAAGAATTACACAAGCTGGCCATACCATTAGACAATGTGGGACTGTTCCATAAGTAGCAGATTTTTAATCTTACATAAAGGCAACAGAGAGTTAGCTATTACATTATTTTTGAATGTTGAAACTAAAAAGTGGGGGAGATGTGTGAATTTCTGCCTCAGGGATCAAAATAACTTGACTGGTGGAGGGATACTGCCCATCTTGATAGGTGGGAGGGTCAACAGCAGAATGTCAGACAACCTCAGACGGTAAAATGAATTATTCAGGAAGCCCAACTGCCAGTTGAATCATTGAAAAGACTGTATTTTCCCACATGAACCCATCCCCTGCTGAAATAATTATCCAAGTACTGTTTCAAGTTCCCTTCATTCAGAGGCGAGAGAAGTTATTGGCTGATGTTCTTATTTCTTCTGCACTAGCATCCCACTGTAGAATGCTTACGCAGACATCTTTTTCAAACACGGATACAGATATCTTTTAGTTGTGAGGTTAACATTATCCTACTTGTGTTCTCCTGGGCCTTTGTCTGTGAATATTGATCAGCTTTAGTTTAATAGCTTTGCAGATTTACATGCTTGAGTGTTTGGGGTTACATTCAATTAATCCAGTGGACAAGGTTTGCATAATGAATTAAGTGCCATTAATAGATTTATGCAAATTTTATGGATCCAACCAATATTTTAAATTCTTTGCTATGACATTTTGTACTGTTTTCAAGTGAGTTCCTACCTGGTTTGAAGTCCAAAAAGGTGACAGAAGGGTGGGATAGGACTTTTGAAATATGATAAAATAAAATAGGTGCATTAATTCTAAGGGAATCTAGGTGATAATCCAGTTGGTTCTTTATAACATACATCAGGTTATATTATCTGTTCTATTTCCAGGTTCACGCTTTGGGGTGTGGATAACACAGGAAGACGTTCAAGGTCAAGCGATGTGACAGTGAAGACTCCTTGTCCAGTCGTGGATGATGTCAAGGCCCAAGGTAGTAACTATATAAGTTTGCAAGCAAGGCACAAGATTCCATCAGTAGGCCAAAAAAAAAAAAAAAGCTGTCGTTTATAAGAATAGTGGCTTATTTTAAATACATCATTTTTCAGGTGACAGGCTTATTCTGCCACCCATGAATATTAGAGATATATTGAATGTTATGTGATTACTTTTAAAAAAGTCTATACTTGAAAATGTTTGCTTTTCTGTATCTAGTGATATATATAGGGAATTTGAAGATATCACAAGGCAATAGAGCCAATTGCTTTTACATACGTGACAAAATTATGAAAACAAACGTTGAATTCTTTGAATAGGAAGAAATAGTCCATTCCTTTGGGAGAATATTTTTTTTTAAAGAGAAGAGACCAATGCTTCTGTATTGTTTATGCAGAAACAATCTACTTCTTTTCATCTCTAGCTCTAATAGAAGAAGTGAATATGTTTATATAAATTGGTATCAAGTGTGTTTAGTACAGTGAATTCAGGAAGTAGAAATTATAAGCATATTCTATGAGCATTTGAATTAGCTGTCGAGGAACTTGCAAAAAGAAGGGAAAGGAGGGGAGGGGAGGGGAGGGGAGGGAAGGGAAGGGAAGGGAAGGGAAGGGAAGGTGAGGAAGAAAACGAAGAGATGTGACTGGTGCGACCAACCCAAGAGTGGAATAAAATCTGTTATGGCTTCAGGGGTGTCTGCAGGTTATGATAAAAAAAAAAAAAAAAAATCAAGGCCGTGCAACTGAAGCTCCGACTGTTTCAATGCGCGTTGCAAGCACAACCCACAACAACAACAGCTTGGATGCGCTG